ATCACCTGATGTGCTTTTAACTGACCCATTCGAGTGAAAGACTTTCCACACTGCTCACATATGAACTGCTTAACTCCCGTGTGGATCAGCTGATGTGTTTTAAAATGCCCGATCCGAGCAAAGGTTTTTCCACACACGTCACATCTGTGAGATTTATCTCCACTTCCTGTTGCTGTGAAGGACTTGTCAGCTTTCTGATAGGAGTCAGGTTTTGACCCATCTTCATCTTTTTCCTCCTGCAGTAAACAAAAACAAAAAGCAGGCAGTCAGTGAAATGCAGAGATGGAGTAAACTTACACTACAAAGTCTTTAAGTTATTGAAGTTTAAATAAATTCAAGAATCTGCTGTTGTGTTAGGAGTTCTCAGATAAACAGATCAGATGTCGAAGGGAAAAAAATCCTGCTCATATTGACACTGACAGGGACTGGGTAATGTGCTAAGAATGAAAGGATGCCACATCATTTGATAGAAATAAAAATGGACTAAATTCAAAGACACCCTGAAAATCAAAGTGAAACAATGATGTGGAAGGCTGGTCCATGTTGCTGACAATGCAGAATGGTTCTCAGCAGTTGGTACGGACCACACGTGCTTGTATGCATGGTTGACAGTGTCGGGGCAGGCTCCTAATGGGATAATGGACGGTGTCCTGGGGGAACACCTGCAAGATCTAGCCCATGGCATCAGCGCCTGCACAGTCTGAGGTGCAACATAAACATAAACGAAACATAACGTCCCAGATGTGCTCTGTTGGAGCCAGTCAGTCGTATCAATTCCTTCATCCTCCAGGAAATGCCTGCATGCTCTCACCACCTAAGACCGGGCACTGACGTTCACCAGGAGGAACACACTGGGTCCTGGGTTGAATAAGATCATTAGAAACCCTGCCACAGACTGGCGACCTGTCCAAGGTGAACCGTTTGTCTGCAGGTATTAAACCATTTTTATTCAGATTTGTTTTCCTTTATTGAATTTTGATTTGAGGATATGTTTTAAAGGGCAAGAGCAGACAGTTCAAACAATAAAATGTTACTGTGAAACTTTTCTTACCTGCTCTGATGGATCCCCACACAGTGGCTCACAGTCCTCCTCTTCTTCCATTCCTCCTCTGTCAGACTCCTCTTCTTCTTCTCTATCAGATTCCTCTTCTTCTTCTTCTCCTCTGTCAGACTCGTCTTTTCCTGAGATCAAACAGATCTTTATTAGGCCACCCTTAATTTTCACTTCGCACCAAACAGGAGACTGAAACCAGATTTAAAGCCAACAATCAGTTTGAACTCAGTTTAATTCAGTTACGACTCATTCAAATGAATCCAAACAGGTTTGATCATGAAGTTAAAAGTCAGGAAACGAGTGAGTGCAGACCGCTGACATCAAACAATAAAATCTGAACTAATAGCAGGCACTGAACGAGATAGGTTAAATATAAAGTAGAAGTTAGAAGGGACATGTTCTCAGCTCGATTAATGTTATTTCACTTCATCAGCATGACGTAGATCAGCTTATCTGCTAATTGGAAGGTTGTTGGTTCGATCCCTGGCTTTTTCGAACCAACAACCTTTGGCAAAATACTGAATCCCAAGTTGCTCCTGATGCTTCCAGTGTTTGTATTAATGTGTGAGACATGTTGTTGAAAGTGCTTTGAATACTCCGATAACATATTTCTGATCTATTTAAGAACCAGTCCTAAGTTATAGTAACTAATAACTTTATGAACTTAAGGAATATGTCAATTTTGTTTCTGAATGAAAAAGAAATTCTGCTTTTAGTTTTACTTGATTTAGTTCTGAAACACTGGGAGACCTCCGAGTCACCAGTTAGCATCCGACATGCATTTCCTACATCCTGAATCAGGGCTGGACTGGTATCGTAGCACAGTAGCCTTTGACCAGTGGGCTGACACACTCGTGGGCCGATTGGTGGATGTTATTTTTTTTTCTTTGTCATAATCATACACACTACAGTCTGGCCTGAAAGCCTGCTGCGCATCGGCCCTACAACCACCGACAGTAGCCTATTGATTCCTTTTTGATTACTGACACTGGATTGCCCAATCAAATTTCTGAACATGACCGGTCACCCTACCTTCCCTGTAGACTGGTGCACCTTGTAGAATAGAGACTAGTGTTGAAGAAGTGGTTGATACAGATGGACAAAGAAAAAAAAGATGGAGCTGAAAAGCTAAGAGAGAAAATGTAACTAAATGAAGTAAAAGCATCAAATTAACCGACATGTTTGCAGCTGCACCGTCAACAGCAGAACCAACAACAAATGACACAAAGCCCTCACATTCACAGAGGCTGCTGTAGCAAGCATTAGCCATGAACCATGCACCAACCTGATTAAAACTTTAACTCTATATCAATAATCAAATAAAATGAAACATGTGCATGCAAAATACACATACACACAAAAATACATATTAGTGCTCATGGTGGGCCTCCAGGGACCAGTCCAGCCCTGTCCTGATGAAATATGAAAAACCTCTAAAAAATTCATAAATGTTACCCAAAGACAGTGTGAATCAGTAGAGGCTGTTTTAGGGGTGAAAAAAAGGGAATATTATCACAAAAAACGGCATAACACAACATGTCCAGGCACTAAGGCGTGGTTTGGAAGAGTAAAGCAAGGCCTGGATTTCCCTGACTAATGACATTAAACAGATACCAACATCTTCTTCAGTGATACAAAGATGCCAACAGAGCCATTATGGCTTCACCACCACAGGTGTGCAACACTAAGGACGGGCATTTTCTTAAGTCTGTGCAGGAACTGGTGAGGGCGTGACCGCAGACACACACATAACCATAACAGTGCAGATCTGTAAGAACTCACACATTAAAACAGAACACATACACTGACGCCACAGTACTTTCAAAAAGCATCACCGATGAAAGACAACAACTGTAGATGGACTCGAGACACTC